CTCTCTCTCTCTCTCTCTCTCTCTCTCTCTCTCTCTCTCTCACTCTCTCACTCTCTCAGACATCACACACAGATAGATTTGTAGAATTTGGACGTTTCCTGGATTAGTTGAATAGATTTAAGCTAAAAGTTGTAATTTTTTCTGTAATTAAAAGTTACAGAAAAAGATGATAGATGACATACGCAAAGAACATTTCTCCTTTAATACATATATTTAAAGATGTTCGTGTTGAATACAAATTAATATTAGGCAAGTGAGGAATTAATATTAGACTCGGTAATTTAATGTGGAATTTGCAATTAATTTTGTCACTAGTGTGATGGTATTAGCAATATGTTAATTTATATTCGGTATGCAGAAATAAAATTACGTTGCACTATGTATATCCATACTGGCAGCAACTAAAGCAACTAAAACTTGTTCGTATAAGAAAATTCTCAAATCCGTCATCTGGATTAAACGCGATAATTTAATAACTATTTGCTGTTACTTGTTACAGAAATACAAAACTTTCAGAAGTCTGCTAAAGCTAGTAAAATACTATTTTTTTTCATTATCACATGTGTTGTGATAGTCTGTCTAGAAGAAACGGGATATACGATATACTGACCCCAACATATCTAAAAGTTACGTTTATGTATATATAATAATTATCACACACTTGTGGCGTATTTGACCGAATGAATTTTGATTATTGTGGATGATTAATGTCATTGGATTAAACGCGATCATAAATTACTAAAGGAATGATAAAGTCCGAACCGTGTTTAACCAAAGTTTCATAATCTAGAAATTGCATTGAGGAACAAATACAAAATTGTTTTTCTCGGTAAGTTTTTTAATAAACTAATATAAAAAAAAAAAAAAGCTCAAACATGAGTTTATGGCGAAACAATCGTATCGATTCAAATTCATTTAAGTCAAAAACGCCAATGGAAAATGTTAAATTTTTATACAGATTACGCGATCGTGTTCGTGATATAAAGGGATTTGATTTGCTTGATAATTGAGTGGCATCATTAACTTCATTATTTTGTAATCAGTACGCATCATTAACTTAATATTGTATTATAAATTAATTAATAAATTTGTAAAAATGATTTCCCCAAATAAATTGTAAATGAGAAAAATGGGTTGAAGAACTTTGATGAGAACACTTAGAACGCGTAACGTGTACGTATATCCTCTAGTTTCTTCGACACTTCGGACGGCGTTCTCTCGAGATCGCCGGAAATACTTTTCTGCTTAGCAGGCTCGATCGAATTGAACTGCTCGCAGAGATCGCCGTCGATGACATTTTTTACAGGATAATAATATGATCGGAAAGACAGATGATCTCTGCCGCAAAGAGGCGGATGTTCGGATCGCATATGCATCTCCAGATGTTGAAAAAAGTCGTGATCCTCGTGACTGGTGAACGGTACGAGCACGCCTACCGTTCCGCTAAGAGTCGTATAGACCAAACTCTCAGAACCACCTGGTATAAGAGTTGCTTTTTGCAGCGACATCACCGTCTCTCCGACATGAAAACACGCTACCGTATCTGCTTTTTGGCTAGCACCGTTTAGCAAACCTCGATCCCATAAAGCCTTGTTCCCAGTAGGATCCTCGTCCACGTCGTCATTAATGCCGGTCGCCAGTCGTATCTATCGCGAAAGAATACAAATCGATATAACAAGCCCCACCATATCACGTTGAAATACGTACAAGCATAATTGAAAAAAAAGTTACGATATTACGAAAACGGAGCTTGTAAAATTTAATTGTAGAAAAAAGTCCTTACCACAGCTATGTTTCCAAATTTATCGGCAGTGGCAACGGTATCATAGTCTAACACGCATGTGGTTGTAATCCATCTGGGATGAGTGTCATCTGCGAAAACTATCAACTGATTCTCCTGACGCTTGTATCTCACAGCATATACGGACTCTTGAACGTCGCTGACGTAAATCCGCTGACCAATGGCATTGATCGAGACCACGGCGTTGGGTATGTGCTTGTTCTCGCACTTTCGCAGTAACTTCTTCTTACCCATGTCGTACAATCGCAACATCCTACCTACGCCGACCAATACTCGACCCTGATACGGACAAATGGCCAGCGGTACCTCATCCAACGGGGATTTGTGCAGCAGCTCGATACTGGTGCAGTCCGCATTTACTCTGGAACGCGGAGCAATCACTTTTCATTAACTTATCCGGCCCAAATACCGCGTTCGTTAAATAATATTTCAACATCAGCACTGCAGGACTTGTCATCAAGAAATACAGACAGCACAATTCTCATCCTTTGATTGTATACATTTAATTTATCACCAGAGATCCAAGAGTTTCTCTTCAGTAATAATTGATTTAAGGAAATATTAAGAATCCAGAAAGAAATCTTACTTGTATGTGTAAAGGGAACCGCCATTGCTAACCCTGGGATTCAGTTGAAATTCCTTTGCGACCCCGACAATAAGAAATAGTTGGTCTCCTTGATTCGCAAACTTCACGAGACAGAGACTACGACAAAAAAGTATTCGTTAACAATTCGTATCTTTTCAACAATCGTGTTCTTTCTCTCCCAACTTACCATAACGCAGCAAGATTTTGCTCAAAGCGATGCACTTCGTATGTTTGCCCAGTGGTCGGCGCCATTATTCGCAACATGGAGGCCCACAAGCCCGGGCCCGCCCGTGGGGCGCCAAAAACCGCCTCGTTCGGCTCTTCCGACAAGAATGCCTCCGCCAATTCCCGAGCGACGGCGGCCTCATCCGCGCCGGCTGCCTCTTGCATTTCTTCCGCCATCTGTAATCTTCTTTGCTGTTTTGTTTCTTCGGTGTAAGCATTGTGTTCCGTCTCGATTACCACCAGATGTGCGGAGTCATTGTGAATTGCGAACTTTCTCGGGGTGTATTCCAGCGGGAAGCTGACTTGATTGAACACGGCGCCGAGTTTTTCAAGCGCCAAAATTCTCAGCGTATTCGTCGATATGGCAACGATACCCTCCGGACACTGTTCGGAGCTGAAGCCCGACGCAAACTCTAGACTTTCGTAAGATAAGGGCGTGAGGTGGAAACGATTCTGGTGGTAGTAGCTCAGCCACGATCGGCTGCTCATCGCCAGCACCGCCTGATTACCCTGCATTCGTATTCTGAAGAGCTTCACGGGACGAGAGCCCAGATAGCGAGTTCTCGTGTCTGCGAGATCGCCGGAAATCGGATCTAGCACCATTCTGAGCAATACGCCGTTTTGCAGACCTAGGATTAATAGCGCAATCGCGTCAAATGTGGAGTATGTGATTTATGTGATTATAAATTTATATCAAATTATATTGCAAATTAAAATTTATCTATTACAATTGTCCGGCTCGTGAAACCAGAAAAGTTCGAGATTCGAAACGTTCCAACGATGTGAGCCCGATTGTTTTAGCACTCTTTGACGACCGGCACGCGGTCAATCATTCCAGATGCCGGAGATACCAAGTGCATCGAAAGCACAATTTCTGTGGCTACCATTTCGCGCCACGAAATTGTGAATTTCGCGCAGATTACACAAACAAGTGATTTTTGCAGCATCTTATACAAATAAAAATAGACATTTGTATCAGAAATAGTTTACCTATATTCAGATACAAGCTGGATTGTTGCGGTGCTGAATCCTCAGAGTTATCGGTGTCCTTGGCGCCCATTTCTACGATACACAGACTTTCGGCGGCTGCTGGTAGCGCTTGCATACTTCTCGGCGCTAGACAGTCCGACGGATCCAACGATATTATCCTCACTGTGTTGTCCTGCAAGCCAACGGCCAAGAACCACGAGCGTTGCTCGCCCACAGCTACATTTCCGAGAGCCATACACATCACTTCCGATGGCATCTTCTTTCTCTCCGTGTACTCATTCAGTTGCCCAGTCTGGAAATACATGTGAATTAATTAACATCACTGATAGAGAATTACGCGATGTCTTGTTCACTCTTCATCAATTGCTAAGAAACGGACTTAGCAAGATTGGCTGTGCAAGATGAAACAAGTGATATGTTCTTCGCATCTTTTACGTCTCTGAGAATAAAGATCAGACGTCTCAGAGAGAACAAATAATGCGATTACTTGTGACTGCAGAGACATCGGGAAACCGTAAGAATTATTGCCGATACATACAGGATCCATTTCGAAGTAGACGAGTTCTCCTCCTGTGAGGGCGATCACAACTTGACGTTGATTGACTGCGCACTTGACGATGGTTTTTTTGCCAGGCGCTTTCCACTCGTTGACTCGCTTATCCGCTCGAATGTGACGTATACCATCGGGATAAACCTGAAAACAAATCAAAATGATTAGCGTTATAATTAATCCTGTCAAATTACCGTTTACATTAAAAAAAATTAAGATATGATTCAGGCCCGTAAAATCAGGAAAGTTCGGACAAAATCCGAAACGTTCCAACGATGTATGAGCCCTTTGCTTTAACACTTTTCAACACGACCGGCACGTGGTCAACCAGACGCTGAAGATACCGAAGTGCCTCGAAAGCAATTCTGTGGCTACCATTTCGTATTTTACAACCCGTTTCGTATCCCACGAAATTTATGAATTTTGCGCAGATCATATAGATAAGTAATTTATCTCGTGCCATACATAAATTTTGATTTCTTTCTCAAAAAGTGTATTATTCTTGTCGAATATAATAATTTATGAAAGAATATAAAATCTTGATCTGCGTTTCAGAAAGCGAATAAAATTTTGTAAAACTTTCGCGTTACCTTGTTGCTCTCAAATGGAATACAAATGTGCCACATGGAGCCACAGAACACGATACAATATAACTTCGATGTATACCTGCACCAACGCATCCTCGCCCAAAGCGGAGCAACTCAAGGTCGGTGTTGTACCGAGAAAACCCGAGTCCGTCACTTCCTCGACAGTCTCGCCGATACTGAGTACGAGTGTGGCATTCACGAAGGACACTATGATGTATGCATCATATTCCTCTGCAATCAAAAAAAGCTGATCCTCAGTATATAGAGAAATTCGTGAACGTCGTATGAATCGAATGTATTTGAATTTGCACACACACAGAAAAATATTTAGGCGCTCTCGATCTTTCGAAACTGCGCACGCTCTTGTGTCACGGGCACGGAAAGAGCTATTTTTTCTTTCATTTTTGTCGAACGAATCGACTGACTCTTATTCGTGCCAATTTTGCGCCAAAATTCTTACCTTTCGGTCATTCAGAGTTCTGTGGGTCAACCAATAGCGTGCTGGCATCCTGAAAGAGAGAACTGGTGTTTGATAAGAGTGTATCAAGCCACCAGGTTCATTAATATCGTTTTATAAAACCGACGCAGTTTCTTTCTTTAAGCAAACTACAATTGTTTTTTGCAAATTATATAACACTTTGACAGCTACATATTTCACGCAACAATGTTTGTCTGCCGCCAGAACCTCTCAAAGAATCAAATTCTCTTTACTTAGAAACTATAAAAATTATCATTATACAAATTTCATATTACTATCAGTATACTTATTGAATTTCATTAAACAATTGCGCTGGTCGGTGATGTAAGAGAGTATACAAGTAGAATTACGCATTGACAGCAGCCGCCAAAGTGTTAAATACTAATATTCTTACCCGAAAGCTTTGCTCAAATGTATTACTTTTGATCCATTTTTTTAAGAGAATAAGAAAAATAACAAGGAACAAAATAATAATTAAATCTGCGATACTCCAACGCTGACGATATAAAAAAGTTTATAAAAAAATTGTCTCGCAGTGACATTTGCAAAATTTTCAAAAAAAAAGAAGATAGATGGGACAAATGTGGAAAAAAAAAAATTTTTAAACAAAAATAAACGGCATAGCTAAAAATTTATCGACTATTAAATAAATAATTCTAGTAGAAACATGCAAGCAGTTGATATATACAAATATTTTTCGACTAACCATCAACTCTTCTTTTCACAGTCCATACAGCGTTCGGATTACCGGGCAGTTCGCTCACGGCCATCTCGGAAACTTCGAGACCGTGGCGTAACACCCGTAGGGTGGATCGCGGTCCTCGACCGCAAGCAATATATAATTGCGGCGTGTCTTCGTTTGCCAAATCTGCTACCTATAATCAGAAATTTTCATAAATCTATTTCCTTGTAGACGCAATGTAAAAGAAAGTGAAAACGTAAACAAAATTTATCGGATACAATTTAAGATGTTCAATAAAAATCTGATCCTTGTTCAAAGACACGAAAATTCTTAATTAGAGCATATATATCTGTATCTCCAAGAATTCACTTCAGTTTGTCAAATTGACAAACTAAAGGCGACAAAGAGAATTTTCTTATTGCACCTAAAACCCACAGAAAAAGGATGCTCGTTGACATTCTTTTCCTACTTGATAGTGCTTTCTATTTGATAAACGCATGGAAAAATCTATCTTGTAGAATAGATGCATCACCTGGCAAGCCATTATGGGTGACAGGCTGTCCATTTCGTCAACCAATACAAGATTTCTGAGCGGTCGCGGTGCAAAGAAGAAAGTGTCGCCTTCCTCCAGCGGCATCGCTGAGCTGAACTCGGGTTCGTCATCGTCATCGCCAAGATGAGCTATTTGATACAGGTAACTGAAAAATGTAATTCCATTATTTGCATCTCGCATCCTTGTTTAAGTACGCACAGTTTACAGTCTATGTACTAACTGGTTGCCGAATTCCGAGGCGACAAACAGGAACCCCGTTTTCAGGACGCACATACTCGCCGCTACAGGTACCGTGTCAAAGTACTTTAATTTGATCTCGGTAACCATGTCCTCATCAGTCTCCAAAGTGATCTTGAAAATATCGCCTTGTTCAGTTTGCGCCAAGAAGAAGAACATGCTCTTCGTTTTGTGTGTGGCTGAGCACACAAATATCATTCCTCTCTCGGGATCATCCAAGTCATTACGGCGACGCGGGATTGGACAACGGATGTCATGCTGATCACCGAGATTCTTGTATGTGAGATAGTTCTCGGAGCAGATGAGAACGCCACTTGGACCATCGTTGCCACCGGGAACAGACACGAGAAAGTTGGCGTGTTCTTCCAGTGGTTCACTGTATTTTCGCACCACGTGATTTAAGCCGAGATCAAGCTCATATAACGTCAGGGTTTGCTGTGTTTTCACCGCCGCATCGCCTGTAGGATCGCTGTCGGCCTCCTAAATTAATATTTTTTAGGGAACATTAAATGCAGATATTTTTTGAATGCAATATTACAAATATAATTTCCAGAGCACTATCATAAGTGGATGTAATCAATGCTAATCAGATGAAACACGGAATACATTTAATATAATCATGTAACACTCAATAAAAATAACATATGCTTAAAACTATTAGAATAATAAATAAAATTTACCTCGTAATCAATTTCCAAACATGCAAACATAGGATTCTCAAAACCAACATCGACACCAACTGTGTGATATACTAGCGTGTTACTCTTGTGTGCCTCCAACGGAGAAGAAATTGTCAGACGAGCCTCGGCATCTCTATTCAGGATATATACGAGCTTTTGTTTCTCTATAGCACCTAAAATAAAAATTGAAGTAATACTATAAATTAGACAAATGCAATTTTTATTCACAATTTACACAAAAAAAAAATAATTTTTATGAACAAGTACCATCATAATATAAAATGTAATCAATGTTAATCAGTTGAAACACGGAGAATAATCATATGGTACTTGATAAACCATATTTGTCTAAAACTATTAAAATAACAAATAATACTAAAATATACATATGTAATACCTATCATAACAGCTCTTCCTTTTGGATCGATAGCAAGATATTGACCAGGAACAATACGTCTACATCCACTCTTGCCAAAAGTTTCCTGATGTACTTTTTCAAAGATATTCTTAGCAGAGATATATTCCAAAATCACAATACGACCGGAATCCGATCCGACTACAATATAATCTTTTGTTCCACCAGTGAGTCTAAACGCCATGAGTGATCTCACAATGCCAAAAACTTCAACAGTCAACAAAGTGTGAACCTTTCCTGTATTTGGATCTGGTCGTAATAACTCCAATGATTTGCCACGAGACACAAGAATCTCTTGCATTTTACTGCCAGAGAAATTGCCGTGTACCGCGTGCGTGATGCCCGTAGCACGTTGGAGCGTCAAATTGTACAAATACATTTTGGCTTTTTTTTCTTTCCTCTATCGTTGATTCCTCGATTGATTGATGAGTTAATCGTAATTTATATTCTCGAAAAGAGCTCGCGAGCGTCCATGCTGCAATATAATTCCGGGTGATAATTCGCTGTGTCGTTCGTCGAACTGTTTTTAATCCAGCCGAAACATTGTTAAACGTAAAAATAACAATAGGTACGAAAATAGACGAAAGCCAGGAATATTCTTTTACCTCGATTAGATGTTCAGCGTAACGATTCTCGATGATGCTTCACGATTTTATCGTTGCGGCCGAAAAGCCGTGTGCATCCACCGCCACGAGCGTTGCGAGAGAAAAGATTCGTTAGCGTTGCTAGTGGTTGCTAGTGACATACCGGAAACGATGCAGCCATGTCCGTCCTTATGGCGCATTCACATGATGCATTTGACCTGTGACATCATTTTCTAGGGACTTAATCTGACGTTTTTATTCCTAGAAAACAAAATTTCCTTATTGGATATATTGGTAGTTTTCCACCAAGAGACACAAGCGACACAAAAGTATTATTCTCTCTGTTGCTCATTGAATATCGAACAAAGACAGAGTGATACTTGTGTCGATTTGTGTCAGCTTGTGTCCTTTGCTGAAAAACATACATTGTACATTAATTGTAACAAATACGTCGTTTTCGTTAATACCTTATTATCAAAAAATTGTATTGTAAATAATTATAACCAATTTATTTATTTCTAATTAATAACTATAAAACTAGTTACGTATATGTACAAGTTTTATATAAAAAGATTTACAATTACATTATATTCTGCTCGAAATCAATAAAATTAAAATTAATTGGTGTACAAACATTAAAATTGTAATTCATTATTTAAAATATTAAAACTTAAAACAATTTAAAACGATATAATCAAGCTTGATTTTCGATTTAATAAGAAAAATACTTTATTGTATCGCGAATTATTTTTTCTTTATCAAGAACTATACAAATTATTTTTACTTTCTATAACAGCGAAAGCAAACTCATCAAAATTCTATGATTTTTTATTTCTATTTTAGTCTTTATAGTTTTGATTGCTTATCTAGATTTGATTTCACTTCCTTAGGAACATTATGATCCTTAATCTGAAGTGATTTTGTACGAGGAATCTTGTTCATGTAGACCTCTGGTATTAAAGATGAGAGTGCCAGGTGAGTAATAAAGCCAGTGAATCCCCATACACGGTGTTTTCCACCCAAGTAAGACGGTAAGTTAAAGTTGGAGAAGCGAGTAAAACGGAACAGCTCAGGATCGCACAATTTCTGTAAACTGACCACAAATGCCTCTTCCACTTCATCGGGATTGATCTCCAGCTCCTCTGGCACTATCTCACCAATGTAACCTAACACTGGCATCACATTGACATCCCCCTTGTTTATGAGAGTCCCTGTAGTCCAAACATCAATTTTTTCTTTTGGGATTTTTAACTCCTCCCAGGTTTCTCGCAAAGCGGTTTCCTGCAGATCAGCGTCACTTTTGTCACTCATACCACCTGGGAAGGATGCCTGAAGGAAATATTCTTCAAGAAACTAAGTCCTGTCTATTACTTTAAGTAGATTTGATAGATAATCAGTTTTTCCATGCAAATGATACTTGTGTATAATTTATATACATTTAAAAAATATATATTTATATATAAATATATATTTATGTATATATTTTTTAGATTTACTAAAATTGATAGATGATAAAAATAAATTACAAACCTCTCCTCCATTATTTGTGAGTTTCATGGATCGTAATGTGTACAGAAATCCAAGTTCTCCTTTATACAAACACAACGGAACCAAAACAGCAGCTTCCGGGACGTTTTTGTTTATTAGTGGTATCTGATAGGATTTGAATTTTTCGATACATTTTTTACGATTATTTTCCGAGAGTACTGTCTTCGGACTCAGAGCGGAATTGACCATGTCGATTCGATGCTCGGATGCTTTGGACTTGAAAAAAAATACAGAAAAGTATATTTAAGATATCGTACATTTTGTAAAATATGTTTCGTATATATTATAGTCAAAACCAGAGAGATACTCGAATTATTTTCTTTGTTAGTTTTAACAATAGATTTTTCGAAAAAACAGAAAAAATCGAAATTAAATTCGTTAAAAAATTTTTCATTAAAAAAAATTTTAATTATAAAACATTATATTAATCTTCTATAAAGCATATTAAAAAAAAATTGAAAATATTGTGTATTTAACTTAGTCAAATGTAAATTAGTTCGATGAATGATATCCTGTTTCGTTTTTCGCGCTATTAATAGGGACTTTAATTGTACTTTGATTGAATAGTAATTTAGATTTTCATATATGGCAGTACTTTTTAGCGCATGCTCCGATAAAACATCCTATCTCGTATTGAAGCAATTCATAATGATTTAACCTAAAATTTATTCGCAAAACAGCAATAATGGAACACTTACGAATGTACGTAGCAAAGGACGCACCGACATCACGGATAATTTCATCAATTTGCTAATTACCAATAAATTACTAAATTAAAACTATTGAACACGATGGCCAGAAAGATTAAACAAGGACGTGACACAGCAAACGATGACAGTAGAGAGTAGACTGAGAATGAGCAATGACTTACACATATCTAGTTATGACGTTTTTTACAACATGTATCTAATTTAAATATAAAACATGTTTTAAATTAAAATATCTTACAAAAGAAAAAAAATTGTAAAATTCTATGTCACTTAGCATTTGTAATATACGTACATAATTGTCTAATTAGTTTAATTAATTTTCGATCAAATCATTCTTGAATTCACAAAAATATTTTTATGTAATGTAATTGATATATCTTTTCTTTAAATTTTTTATATGCATAAAAATATATAAAATATATTTTAAAATTATATATATATATATATATATATATATACATATATATATACATATAAAAGCATGCATCTATATATATAAAAAACAATTGTATAATCTTGAAAGACATTGAGTAAATGTGTGTGTAAGCCATTTCAAAATTTATTTTGTCGTAAATAAAATACGAAAAAATTCTATCATACAATTATAAGTTATATAATTTAAATTAATATTATATGAGAAAGCATATTTTTTCATTTGAATTACATTTATTTAAAGTTTCACAACATACGTGACATTATTATTATTATTATTATTATTATTGTTATCATTATTATATGCATACAATTCTCAAGTGCATTCACGTGCAATTTACATACTTTCAAGCACTCATACTCAACTCTTATTTTAAATATTTACCTTATCACATACGCATAAAAAAAACAGAGCGAGTAAGCGTAATCATCGCAATGACTGCCGATTTATTGGCAGTAACAAGACGAAAGTCAGGTCTATTCCTTATAACTGCATTACATTAAACTTTTTACATTTCAGATAAAATAAAAGTAAAAATATATACCTAGATTTATATTTAAGACTTAAATAAAGAGAGAAAAAAGTAAATAAAGTACGTATGCAAAAAGTACAGTAATGCAGAACGGAAAAAATGATAGACCTATTGTAACACAATAATACGATATAATATGTATTTCTTTATGAATTTCAGATAATAAAAAATGCGATAAAAATGATGAAGATAATGAACGTGCTGAAAACAAAAGAAAAAGAAAAATGGATGAAAAGTATGCAGAACCATGTAAGGGAACACGATCAGGCTTTGTTAGCAATGATGCAATTATTAGATAATCAATCTAATTTATGCGGATTGAAAAATTTGTTTACAAAAATTACATTTGTGATATAGTTAGTATCTAGGTATAAAAGTATTACAACTGTTAATATTAAAAACCGCATAAATTTGCTTGATTATTTAATAAGCTGAAGAGCTTATTTCCAAATACTTTTACATCGATATCTGTAAAAAATGGAGCTCAATGAAGAAACATTTTTAAAGCATTACTTTTTAGATCAGACAGTTTTCAGTATATTCCAATCAACAAAACAGCAAACAGATCGAATAGCGTGAATATGATGATTGTCGATTCTTGCTATTCACTGGTATCTGTTAAAAAAAAATCACAAAAAGCACGTGATAATTAATCCCTATTTTTTTTAAATACTTGGAAGACGATTCAGAGATAAGTTCCTCAATAATACAATTAATTCACCAGGTTCTTTGTTAAAATATAGGGAAGGAGTGGAATCACACATTGGAATTGGCTTCCCGCCACGTAACTTGGCTGCTCCCGAGATTCTGCAGCCGCAGACTGTTACCGGGACTGTCGTCGCCCTCGTAAGCAGCGTTCACATGCCCTGCCGTCGGTCCGTGCCCCTCAAACACATCCTTCACGGATATTTGACTGCTGCGGGACGGCCGACCCTGGATCCCCAGAGGATTGCCGGCCACACCGTAGATGTTGTTCGCGCCCAGAGTCTGCATCTGCGACTTCCGGCGCATTGCCATAATACTATTACGTCTGCCCTCGAACGCCTTAAACGCCTCCGTTGTGCGTCGCGTCGACATGTTTCTCGGCAAACCTGAAAAATGTTTGTAAGTATTAATATTTGCAATGATGTAAAACATATTTAAGATCGTATTAATAATTATTAATTTTGTTTATTTCAAATTGTTTTTTTTATTTCTTGTTGTCCAAACCTGCGCCTTCGCTCATGCTGAAGAATCGCTGTCTAAAGGCCACATCGAGTGTGTTGATCGCCTGCGTCTTTCTGCGGCTCTTCTCCAGATTTCTGATCGTTTTTCGTCTACCGGGCCCGCTACCGCTGCCCTCCTCGTAGTCGCCTTCTATTCCTTCCAGTCTCTGCAGATCCCTCACTATTTCGACTGCGTGTTTCGATAGCAAAGCTTCCTCGGAGAGTTCGTTCGTCTGTAAGTATTATTAGCATTCGCATGAAATAGCTCGGGATACATTAGATAAGTTGATACAGAGGGTTTGTCGCGATTGTCGAATATAAACTCTAATGCAACAAACTCTTTGCAGTAATTTAATGGCATTAAATATAATATCTTATGAAACAAATGCACACCTTCTTGCAACAATCTAAGCTAGTACTGGCCAGAATGTGGGCCAGCGTGCCGAATCGATGGAACAACATTGCGGTGAATTGTATGACCAATATCAGCGCGAAGAAGAAGACGAACACGAGACCAATCGGTTCGAGTTGCAAGTACTCCTTCGTGATGTGTACCTGCAAAATCACTCGTGTAATCAAACACGTTGCGATCGTAATGAAGCATTACTTTCGGAAAGGAATGCTCGACGACGATTAAACTCTAAACCATCTATTCTTATTTGTAAGAACAAAATTTAAGTTATTAACTAATTTAAATTATCGTTACATTATTCAATTAGATTTTAAATAATTTGGACAATTTGTAAAAATTTCTCAAATTATTTTCGATAAAAAACAGCCAATCGCCATCGGAAATCATTCCTTCGCGAGCGTGTGCATTGATTAAACACAATTATAGCAAGAAATCGTTAGCAGTTAAAATTCCGCAATCATCGGCAGTTTTCGTGCATGGTTAAGATTAACATACCTATATACATATAACATATATACACACACACACACATATGCTTATCACTAAGTGAGACGAATTCAGCCCCCTGATGAAACGAACACTGAGAGCACTCACCGCATTGCATACATTAGTGGTGCTTATTCGTTGTCACAGGTAATAATATGGTGCATATATTAGAGTTAGATACAACGAAAGAGAGAAGAAACGCGGATCCAAAGATCTATAGAGATTTTCAGGAATTTATAGATCTCCGAATCGAAAGATCTGTAATCCCAAGATTTTTGCACAGAGGCGGATCTATAAATTTGTTTAATGTTAATTGTAACTTGTTGAATAATAATAATAATAATAATTTTAATGATCATTATAAAATGTCCGCCCTGCCTGTAAATCACCATGATTCGCATCACGTAATTAAATTAATGGAGTTTGATTTAATTTCATAAATCAAACTTTTGATTAATTCAGTGAGTTGAGAATGGGTTATTGTGACATTCAGGCGACTAATTCCTAGTTATGCCTAATCACAGAGTCACCAGAAATCATCTCCCCTGCAAATTTTATTCGACCCAGGTGAGGGTGAGGTAACCTGTGTGTGAGAAATTAATTGAACATATTTTCCGCGTGCTGTAAAATGAGCCATTTGTGTTAATTACACATCAAATATCTGTACATGTTGAATTGAATGGGTGCAATGTCATCACCGAGGTGCAATGATTACCCCCGATGCGTCAGAATACTTAAATAATCCAATTAACCGATTGTGAGAGACATTCTGAGATATTAATAAAAATTAAAATTCATAACATTATTAAAATATTAAGAATTAAAATTGTAACAATTAAAAATCGACGCTTTGAAAAACATTTGATATCATTGTTTCTTAATCATTTTTAATTTAATAAAATTTTAACAAATCTTAGAAAAATAAAAAAAAATGAATAAAATGACAATTAAAAAATAAGATTCGGAAAAACGAGAGTTTTTATGCATGAATGTGGACACATCGACGGCAAAATTTTAACACAAGCACCATATATATATAGGACACCACCATGGCACCGCTTTAATTCCTTTCCCTTGTTTGATGCTTGATCATCGGATACCTCCGAGGTCTCTTCGACGTAGGTGATATTGGTCTTGACACCAAGTGGCCAGACAACATGTAGCTGATCCTTATTCAGCTGTAGCAAGAATACGATCAGAACGAACAAGGCATTGAACATTAGAAATGCGAACACGCTCTTGTTGCGCAGTTCGATCAGATCGGCGGCGATGCGGGCCTGTTGCGTGTGTGTGCGAAGTGAATTCGAGAAAACAAAACAAAAAAGACGACACAAGATTAGAATAATAAAAAGAAAAAGACTCCATCGGTCGATCCATCGATTCCTTGATCGCCATGATTTTTATCGGCGTTAACGATTCGCTTGTAACAAAATTTTTTTTAGCAATTAAACAATTACGGAAACGCTGTAATACGCTGTATTTGCTATAATATGCTAACGCGTTGATCTGAGGTTATCGTTAACGAGATAAAAATGTTTATTGAGATAAAATCTTGATCGAGGATATGAGATGCCGATGGAGTCTGGCTTTACCTCCATTGATTCAGCGTTAAACGTGACGTTTGTCTTGATACCGAATGGCCACTTGATGTGCAACAAGTCTTTGTTCAATTGCAGCAGAAAGACGATCAGGACGAAGAGAGCGTTCATCATAAAGAACGCAAAGACGCTCTGGTCGCGTAGGTCCTTTAGATCTTTGGCGACTCGTGCCTGACCGGAGAGCAGCATGGGGCATGTTAATTTAATGTTGTAACGTTAACAATTAAAAGTATACTTTCCATGAAAGATAGAACCAATTTCACTCTTTAAGAAAGAATTATCCAACGTTTAATCACTTTAATCACTTTTAATCATTAAGAAATCATTGCTATTAGCGCAAACAATTGTCAATTTTCTTCAATTTTAAATTTAATTATTAGAAATTTTCTATAATTTCTAGTGCATCATTATTCCAATCATTATAGATCGATACTTCTTTATGCGATCATTGAGAAGTAGAGAATCTTTGAGACTTCTATACTTCAACAATCGCATCATCGTCTCATTCGTCCATAGGAAAAGAAATTTTGTTTCTTCACCCTCGATCGACGACAGCTTGCAGTGACAAAGACATATCGTGCGCGAGTCGTATCATTTCCGATCTCACACACACAAAACAATTTTCTAACATATCAAACTAATTCAAATTGATTATGGTAATATTACATTTTTGTATAAAAGTTTCCTCAAATGCTAGTTAAAGTAAAAATCAAAAATTTTCTTTAACATGTCCGTGTAAAAAAAATGTATAAACAAAAAAGATTAGTTGAGTTTAAAGATTCGAGATTATAAATTTCACAAAATACATTCAATTGTTTTTCGATTTATTCATTATTTACTTAAAAAAATTTGTTAACTTTGAACTTTATCTCAACATATCCATGTAAAAGATAAATAAGTTAACAATAAAAAAAGTCGAATTGTTTTTAAGTATGAATGCTTGTCCCAATGGTCAGTTATACACGGAGAAAATTTTATATCAAAAATTACTATGTACGACATTAACCGCGGACCACGAAGCCGCGGACCGAAAATTTTTACTATGTTTCACATGTCAAAAACAGTAAAAATTTTTATAATTCCTTCATGGTCCGCGGCTACTATACTCGTACATAGTAATTTTTAATATAAAATTTTCTCCGTGTAGTTTTTACCTTCTCTGTCTTGTCCTCGTCGATTGGATAGAGATACTTCTCAAGCAGGTCCTTCCAGAATTGTTCTTCCTGAAGCGAGAGCACGTCCACCTCGCCCTTCTTCAGGCCGTCGTCACTTAACCAATAGGGCCGAGTAAGAAAATTGCTTCCATCGCGATTACCTTCGCTATTCTGACTGGTCACCGTATCAGTATCGCTAGCGTCTTCGTTTTCAGCCGGATCCTCACCGATCGCTCCTAGAGGATCGGCGGTGCGTGAACCTGCGGATGAGGCTCTTCTTCTTCCGTGACTATGTGGATCCACCGCTCTGCAAAGGAATTATAAATTAAAAGTATATCTTTTCCGTACTTTCGACTTGAGAACTATTTCTTCTCACAGAAATTTTTTAGAGATTTATTTTGCAATTTCTAATTTTTTGCCATTGTAAGATACATTTTTTTTGCTATTTTTGTCTTACCTCTCGTCTTACCTCTCGATAGTTTCGAGCCTTTTGCCGAGCTGTTCGAGTGATTCCGCAATCGCCACGAGCTGCTGCTTCTCAGCGGACGGTTTGCCATGGGTACAAAGCAAACACTTAAACAAGCCAGCTAGCGATATCTCAATAGAGCCTTGATCGTCGTCATTGGTGCCCGCGCCGTTCTGTAGGAAGCCCAGCAAAGACTTCTGCTTGGCCTTGCGCTTCGCTTCTTCCGCCTCCCGCTTCTCTTGTTCGAGTTCCTGAATCGCACAAACAATCGTGACAAATACATGGAGATATGATCTTCATTTCTCCATGTATTTCTCATAAATTCAAATTGTATATACAACAATCATACAACGGAATATGAATAATAATTCTAATTAATTCAAATTCTTTATACTTAAATTATTTTTAATGGGTCAATCGAACAAACCAAAATATTATTGCGTATGTACAAAGCTGTGAAGGCTAATAATAAGTATACAAATGTCCACAGGACGTGTCTGCTGATTAATAAAAATTAGTCGGTTAGTAAAGTGGGTGACATTAATTACCGCGCGGGTCTTCTTCGTCTTAATTTCCCGCGTGCCCCATGAGATGTTGTTGAGATTGCAGAGTGAGTATATGATTAGTAGCACGTACATCGAGGGCACCGCCAGATAATAGATCAGACCGTGCAGCAGGCAACCGATTTCGTATGGATGCAGAATACCCGTAAACGCGATCTCGCTCATCACGAGGAACAGGAACAGCGCGCTCGGCGACACCAGGCTCTCTTTCACGATGTTGATCGCGAACGCGACGATCACCGCGGTCATCACGATGCCGTACATGGTGCTGATCACCGCTGCCACTATCACCTGTTGTTACGTCGATCCTCTCATGTGTAAGTTAATCGCTTTCTTTTTTTTATTTTGCAATCAAGCGTGACACAGAAGCTGAAGCGTGATTCGTCATAAAGCGAATAATTGAAGACTGAATTGATGGAAGAATCTTGATGAATGATTACCAAATCGACGTTGAAATTACGTTTTCATAACGTTAAATACATGTTAAAGTACTCTCAAGCGTTAATTCTTCTCCTCTTCAAACTCGATCGTTTATCCTTCCGAAGCCCCGTTCACCAAAATTACATTCCCGCCGCAAACTCCCAATTAATCGTGTAACGCAGAAAAAAAAATCGACACCGACACGAACCTTCTTCGTCTTTTTCGTTTGAACCTCCCTGGTGCCCCAGGATACAACATTAAGATTGATGATGGAGTACAATATGAGGAGCAAATACATAGACGGGATGGACAACAGATATATGATGCCGGGCACGATGCACCAGAATTCTTGCGGGTGCAGACAGGCTGCTATGAAGAATGAACTCGACAGAGATATGAGGAAAATCGCCGAGGGCGAACCTATGCCGTCCTCGCCGAGCTGCAAAGCCGTACCTACGATCACCGCCATCATGATCATCGCGTACGCCGTCGACAGGATCTGAGCGCATAGAAGCTGAAAACCACTCACTCTTAATGCTATTTTTCTCCTTGTGCCCCATCTTGAAGAGATTTCGAAATAACATTTGAAATAAATAACGTTCAAAAATAATTGTACATATATGTCGAACATTATTAATGAAACATATAATTGTGTGAAAATTAATTAAGAATTCCAATGGTCTGAAGACAAATTGCGGGCGAAAGACAAACACAATGCGCGACAAAACAAGTATGTAAATTTGGCACATCGATGTGACATCGAAAAGATTATACTTACCTGCATATTCGCTTTACATGTGAAGCAGATGATCATGAAGAGCAAGATAGGAATGATGTTATAGTAAAAACTCGTCCAGTTATCGATTTTGAAGGCTGCCACAAACGCACCCACCAACATGAGGAAGATCGTGCCAGGTCCCAGAATCGTACCGCCTGTTTTTATAATTGAAGATCAAACCATAGAGATTATTTTGATTGATCGCGCACATTTTGCAACATTTTAATAAAATATTTTGGTAATCAACTTACCCATCAGCAAGATTTGATATGAGATGTAAAGCAGCGAGATATTGTCGTTTATCTTGATCGTGCGTTTTGCGTCCATCAATAAGTCCATGATATTCGCGATGGTGGAAGGCACCCAGCGGCGTCGTTGGTTGTAGAACTCGTTGAATCCTTCCGGCGCATGGGTATAAGCATCGCTTGCGGCCGAATATTCCACCTCAAACACGATATAAGAATAATGTTAAAATAACGCACACGTACATACTAAAATACTAAATAAATACAATTACATTAATATAATTAATATCACTGTATAAAAAATCAAAGAGATATGCCATAGATACCCTGTATCCTCGTTGTAACAGCAACGTGCACAGCCAACGATCCTCGCCCTGATCGTACTGCACATAGTGCCTCGCTTCGTCAGATCTGGTCGTGTATTTCTTCATAACGTTGTCGTCCATCAGAGCTTTACCACGAAACAGCGAGAAACAGCCGGGACTGCAAAGCACGCAGCCGATCATGTGCTCGGTGGCTTTTTGCAGCCAGTGACCGATCGCGTACTCGAACATTTGATACCACACCATTGGTCCTGCGTATTTGTACAATGTTGTCGTTGTAAATGTCATAAAGTGAAGAAGCAATTACGACAAAATGTTTAATACATTAATTAT